GTGTGAGCTCCCTCCAAGCCGTAACCACTATAGACCTATTAGCCTTTGTAATGTCGTTTATAAGGTTATTTATAAATTCCTGACTAACAGAATCAAACCTTTGCTCCCTGACTTAATTTCTCCTCTTCAAGCAGCTTTCGTAGGTGGACGCTTTATTGCAGATAACAGTGTTATCTTGAACAAAGTGCTTCACTCTATGAAGAGGAAAAAAGGGAGGAAAGGATACTTCCTCATTAAAGCGGATATGGATAATGCCTATAATCGCGTCTTATGGAAGTTCCTAGAGGCAGTCTTGAGAAACTTTGGTTTTTCGAATACTTTCGTGTTATGGATCCTAGCTTGTGTCAAAAGCTCCTCTATGGCTGTGTTATTAAATGACAGCCCGTTTGGTTTTGTGACCCCTAGTCATGGTCTTAAACAAGGGGACCCCCTATCTCCGTATCTATTTATTTTGTGTAGTGAGATGTTGTCAAGGCTTTTCACTAGGCATTGCTCTGAGGGCCGATTTAGAGGTATTAGGCTTGATAGGGTTGGTCCTGTTTTGTCCCACCTCTTATCTGTGGACGACCTTGTCATTTTTGGGGAAGCTAGTAGCAATAACCTATCGAGGGCCATGGATATTCTGGAGAAGTACTGCTCTTGGTCTGGTAAGAAACTGAATAAGGTTAAGTCTCATATCTACTTCAGTAGTAACATTCCGGATGCCCTATACTCTAGTCTGAAGTGTGAAGCTGACATGTATGTCATGTCTCTAGGCGCATTAGTTGGGCATTACTATGTTTGATCAGTGGCTCGTTCAGCCAACTGGAAAGGGATTGTTGATAAAGTTAAGGCTAAAGTCATCGGTTAGAAGATGAAAGTTCTCTCCAAAGTAGGGAGGCTGACTTTAATTCAATCAGTAGCGCAATATCTCCCAGTGTACCATATGACTACAAAACCCATATCAAATAATGTGTGCCAAGAAATTGATTGTACCCTTCGTAAATTCTTGTGGAATATCACGACGGAGTGTCAGGGTATTTGTTAGAATTCTTGGGATTCTATTTTCAGGCCTCGACTGGCGAAAGGCTTGGGGCTTCATCGTAGTGAAGATTGCAGTTGTGCTATGGCGACTAAATAGGTTGGAGGATCTTGACAGAAGAAAATGCACCTTGGGTACAAGTTCTGGTTGCTAAATATGGTAGGGGTCATGAATTTCTTAAGGCTTATGCCAAACCTTTTGAATCCTCGTTTTGGAAGATGATTATCCAACAAGTCTCGTTGTTGTCTAAAAGGGTTTGTAAGCGGATTGGCAATGGAGAGGGAGTGAGTATTTGGGATGACCCTTGGGTTCTGAATGTTCTGGGTTTCCGCCCTCCTTTTCATGCTCGTAGTGTGGGCCCCACCTCTTTGAGGTTAAGGACCTTTTCTTAGCAACGGGCGTCTGCAATGAGCACTTGATCATAACGTTGTTTGACAAAGTAAGTGCATGTGATATTGTCTTTATCCTTTTACCTAGCCTTAGTCCTCCCGGCTGGCTTTAGACTACGGAGGCATGCTAGGATCTAACAAAGGCATATGATCCTGTGGTGGCAACTCATTTGGGATATTCTCTATATGAAAGCAGTTATGAACAGAATTATGGACATTGACCAGTTTTGCTCGATGTATGGAGTGCCAATAGAATATGCAGTCCACCTTTTCATACGCTGCTCCCTTGCGAAGGGCCTCTGGTTTTCTTCTCCTTGGAGCATTCAGTCAGATAGTCTTCAAGTGGGCTCTATGGCGGATCTCTTCTCCCTTTACTCGGGTAGTTTTATGGAGGAGGTTGCACGTGGAGTATTAATTTAAGATTATCACGTGGAGTACATTTGGTCTTGGTGGATTAGAATTCAAAAGGAATAAGATCAAACTTTATTTATATATGTATTTATGGGATATATATGTGAATGTATTTGTACATGAAGTGAGGTGTGTGTGTGAACGAAAAATTGTGGTGCTGGGTGAATAATTAGTTTTTGAAAGAGCTATCTAAGTGGGATTTATATTGAGCAAATCATAGAGTTGATTTGATCAAGGAGTCCAATATAGAATTTTTTATATATACCACATAAATAAAAAATAAAGGGCGGCCATTCAAGAGAAACTTTATAGAAAATATCTGAGAGGGATTTAATAGAAAATATTCAGAGCAAAGTCTATAAGATAGTAAGCATTTGACTGTTGATTGAAGAGCGTCCTTTGAGAGAAAACGCACTGCCAGCTTAAGGAATTTCACCGGGCAGTTTGAAGACGAGTGGTACTCGTTGGACAAGACCATTAAGGAGATTCGACACAGCAGTGACAACGTCAAGGAGGGAGTCTTTGGGTATAGAAGTCTGATTAGAGTTTGTAATCCTTTGATCTTGGTGGATTGTTCATTGTCTGGGCGTGGTCCCGCATATGTAGATGTGCGCACCGAATCGCGATACCATTTTCTGGTATTCTTTAGTTTTCTCCTGCATTATTTATATTCCTGCGCATTTCTTTTTACCATTCGTTGATTAGCTTAGCATTTGATCATTAGTTGCAGGTGTTGCTAAAAGTGTTGTAACACTCTTTGTAACACTTGCGTGAAAATTAAACCTTTCAATTTGTATCAGAACGGTTCACTAACCCTTTGTTTGGTGAGATTTTAAGAGTTGGCCTGTTGCATCAGGAATGGATTCTCTAAAAGAAGAAGGTTCGGTTTCATGCTCCCCAATACTTGATGGCATTAAGAAGTTCGACAAGAAGAAAAAAAGGACAAACTTTGGCAATGTCAACCGTTTCCAGGAGAATAAAGCTGCAGCAAATAACACAGAGATGAAGACAAAAAAAGGGGTATTCAATGCCTGGAATGCTACGGTTATGGCAACATTCAATCCGAGTGTGCTAACACTCTCAAGAAGAAGAAGAAATCACTCAATGCAACCTGGAGTGATGAAGAATCTGAAGACAGTCAGGAGTATGATGATGATCGTGTGAGTAATTTTATTACCTTCAATGTTTATACTGATCAAACTGTTTCAACAGACAGTGTTACAAAAGGTGTCGCAGACAGTGTTACAACAAATGCTGAAACAAAATCTGTGAATAGCAAAAACGAAGGAGATTTTTTAGATTCTGAATGTAACCTGGAGTGATGAAGAATCTGAAGGCAGTTTTTGGAAAGGCTATCTTAGTGAGATTTATATTGAGTAAATCATGGAGCTAATTTGATCAAGGAGTCCAATATAGAATTTTTTATATATACCACCTAAATAAAAAATAAAGGGCGGTCATTCAAGAGAAACTTCATAGAAAATATTTGAGAGGGATTTAATAGAAAATATTCAGAGCAAAGTCTATGAGATAGTGAGCATTTGAGTGTTGATTGAAGATCGTCCTTTGGGAGAATGATTAGAAGCTTTCGAGAGAAAACGCACTGCCAGCCGAAGGAATTTTGCCGTGCAGTTTGAAGACGAGTGGTGCTCGCTGGATAAGACCATTAAGGATATTCGACACGGCGGCGACAACGTTAAGGAGGGAGTCTTTGGGTGTATAAGTCCGATTGGTGTTTGTAATCCTTTGATCTTAGTAGATAGTATGTCTAGGCGTGACCCCGCAGATGTAGGTGTGCGCACCGAACTGTGATATTAATTCCGTGTGTCTTTTATGTTTATGTTAATCTTTCTGCACTTATAATTTGTTGTTGTTGAATCAAAGAAAAAATATATCCATCTGCACGCATCTGTCATTAATGTTATAACGAGTGTTATAACACTCTTTGTGAGACTCAGTTAAAAATATACTTTTTCAATATGTATGTATGTATGTATCTCCCCATATAGTATTAAAATATGTAGAGCTGATTTTATGACAGGTTCTAGTAGTGGCGAGAGTAGGTGGAAGGGACATAATTGGGCCAAGTTGAGAGTGGTGTATGAACAAAGCTTAGCGTTACTTAAATTTGATATTGTGGGCATTTATGATATTGTATAAAACATTATATGGAGAACAAATATTGATAAAAATATGAGAAAGAAAATCTAAGGGGGTTCAAACATGGTGCGGACCCGCAAATCTACTGTGGAAATAATGGGAACCCCCCAAGTAGGGTCCTTGTAAAATTCATGTGAAATTCATGGTTGCATTTCGGAATTTGTAAAGTAAAAAGTGTTACCAACATGACCCACACAAGTACTAAACAACGTAAAAACTTCAGTAGGGCCGCTTTTCTTTGACTATATACGAGTACTCATGAGTGTGGCTACATGTAGTTACATAAAAACACAAATCCACGCAAATTAAAAGCCCATAGTGATTAATTTGTTAGTGTGTTTGAGAATGGAACAAGTCAATTAACACTATAATTACACTCCATCGTTATTCACGTGTATGGATAGTCAATTTATCAACCACTAAATTGATTGCACTAGATTTCTCGCCCTATAAGTTAATTTATAAGAAAAGGAGATAAATACCTCTTCAAAATATTAAGACTTGTAAGTTATTGTCTTGGGCTTTTTCGGTCGCAAAAAATAAGGTGTTGCCATCGCCTATGAGCTCAGCACAATCTTTTCATTTAATTGTCGTTGGCCGTGTGTGATTTAATTATTTTTTTATGATTGTTATGTTGGTCTTTGAGTCTTCTTATGAAACTTTTATTCACTAAAAAAAACAGTTAAAAGAAAAAATAACAAAATAAATTTTTTGACCCGTAAATAACCTAAAAGGCAATATATTAAGAAATGATAACCTAATTGAAAGGAAATCACGGATATTTACATTAAGAAATAAGACAATAAAAGGAAGCAATCCAATATAAAATGTATGTAGGAAGGTCGGAAAAAAAAAAAAAAAAAAAAAACAGATGATCTAAAAGCACGCATTATTCAATTCCCACATGGAAAACAGCATAGCTGAACTGTATGTAGTCTTCCTATTGTGCCGTTGGACCCCATGCTTCTTTTATATATTCTTCCTCTCTTTTCCTTTTATTTTGCTAGATTTCTTTTTTACTTTTTGTGAGAATAACAAAAGCCCAAATCACCTCTATTTTTATACTCACACCCATCCTCTCCCTAGCACTAGAACTATAGGGAGGACCTCATAACAATAATGGAAAAAGAAATCATCAACATAGACAGTGATGCTCATGAAAACCAAACCAACCTCACTTCATCATCCACCACCACCACCGCCGATGATTCCTCGAAAACCGTGAAGAGCGAGAAAGATCATTGCACTACTATTGCAGCAGCTCAAAATGGCTCAAGAAGAGGCAATTGTGGAAATGCGCGAAGCAAGAAGAGGCAAAGGAATGACAATGAAAGTAGTGGTAGTAGCAGTACTAATGAAGGTAAGCACCCTACTTATAGAGGTGTGAGAATGCGCAACTGGGGCAAATGGGTGTCCGAAATCCGCGAGCCGAGGAAGAAATCAAGAATATGGCTGCGGGGGGGGAAGGGGGGGGCCCAAAACCGGGGAGCCGAGGAAGAAATCAAGAATATGGCTCGGGACATCCCCCACCGCCGAAATGGCGGCACGAGCCCACGACGTGGCTGCTCTAGCCATCAAAGGCGCCTCGGCTTACCTCAATTTCCCCGAACTAGCCCGTGATCTTCCCCGCCCGCTCTCCACCGCTCCCAAGGACATCCAAGCCGCCGCTGCCTTAGCCGCCGCCGCATCCTTCGACGCTACCAAATCACCACCGCATCACGACCCAGCCGAAGCCGAAGCTGAGCCAAGCCGAGCCGACCATCTAACTCCTACTGATCAGGAATCAGCCAGCTCCCCTTGTTTAAGTGAGAATTACGAGGACACATTGTTCGACCTGCCTGATCTTTTCATTGGCGGTACGGACGGCAGCAACATTGGGTTTTGCTACTACTCTCCGTCGTGGCATTTATGCGCAGCCGATACTGGGCTCCGTTTGGAGGAGCCATTCTTGTGGGAATACTAGAAGAGAAATCAAGCTATATTGCATTGGCTTTTTTTCTTTGTCAAACAAGGCGCTATTATAATCATTCTGATCATAAAAAATATTGATGATCATCATCGCTTTGATATCCAGAGATCACGAAAGCCCCAGTTCTGATCTTGATAAAAAGGTCCTGATCATGGTCGGAATGTGGTTATGGTTCATTGTGGATCGTGGTCAGCTGCTGTAGCGGATCATGACTTAGCAGAGAAGAAAGAGGTTACTTAATGTTCTTGCTTGCTTATAATATTTGTCCATAAAAAGAAAAGAAAGATCAAAGTAATTAAGCGTAATTTTCACTCCTAGTGCACATATATATGAGCAAAATACCAATAAAACAATCATTATGGGCGTTTTTATTCTTCTCTCTTTACATTTGACTGTAATTAATTTTCTTAATTAATAATAATGCCATCTAGTAGTATTTCAAGTTCCTTCTATTTCGAGTGACGTGTTTTAATTATATATTCTCTAGATAATTGACTACATTTAGATAAGAACCTTAGCTACTTAATATAATAAATACAGTTACATGTATCAAGTTTTAACCAGCAATTAATAGTGTGTTATCAGCTGTCTTAAATATTATAGATTCTAACTAATTAAGTACAGTATAATTTAATTATTGTTTCTCAGTTGTGACGTATACATATAGACAAAAATTGAAAATTGACAAGTTGTTTGATTATAAAAAATATGAAATAAACCACCTTGGCACCGGTATTAATTAATATTATAAAATAACCAACTAGTTTACACTAAAATTAGCTCTCTTTCATTTTACTGATTCGAATTTTCAATTTTAATTTTACTATAATTAAAAGTTCTTATAAAAAGTCACTTCTAAATTTTTTTACTACAGTTAAAAGCTCTCACATAAAATTATATCTCAGCTCGAATTAAAAACTCAAATTAGTCAAGTGAGTGAGACCTAATTCTTTTTTACTTTTTCGTGGAAAGACAAGTATATGAGATGATTAATGCATCATCTTTTGCGGAATATTTTCCTTTTATGTACTGTTTCTTCTATGATTAAGCAAAGTGAAATTCCCTTATCCGTGTGGAGTGTGGACACCCATGTAGGAGCCCAAAACTAGGTGACAATTTACATAATAAAGCAAGTTTTAGGATGAAAACAAGCAACATATATATATATATATATATTAACACGTCTATATATATGTTTGTGTTTATGTAGTGGAAGTTTATAAGGTTATAGTTATAGATAGCAAAGCGAGTTTACGGCCCTAATTGATTAGCAAAAAAAAAAAGTTTAGGGCCCTAATTTCTTTTTTTTTTCTTTTTTGATTAGACAAGAAAAGGGCCCTATTCTCCATATATTTTAAACATATTCATGCCACGTACTGCTATAGTGGTTAGTGACCTCACATCATTATCTACTTCATATACAATTTCCTCATTATTGGCCGGATTTTTGCTCATTTTTTCGAGTCCTATAAACTATTCCTCGGAGACCCACAAGTGTACGTCAAATAATTGATAAGTTGGTTTTTGGAAACCCAAAATATATATATATATATATTAATATTAATAAATGGGGGTGTCCCATTTTTACTAGAAAAAAAAATGGCAATGATGTAAGTATACGCAACAAAAGTAAAGACAAAGGTTACAGCTGAGTTGGGAATCTTACAACAATATGAATTTAGTGCATGCAAGTACTTGCTCTATCTCTTTATTTTTTACAAACCAAAATAGATATTTGGTTGATTAACCACACATTAAGCATGATTATGACTGTTTTAGTTGGTGTTTTTCACAATTGTATTTTGGTAATAAGGACTTGTGGAATTGGTGGATTTTTTTTTTTACATATTACTGAATTTTACACTAAATATTAATTTCACACTCGTTGATCTAAACCTATTTTTTTCTATATTTTAATTTCCTTTTTTTAGATGATACAGATGATAATGATATGATATGATCACGACATCACTTAAGTAACCAATATTTTTGTAATATTTTTTTAATTGTGTAATCCGGCTCAGAAACAAAGAGTGAGTGGATCATGAAGTACGGAGTCGAAGTTATTAGTGTTTACTATATATTTTTATGATATATAATAAAATGGATTGGAACTCCAGATTCAAATTCAAATTTCTAAGCCTAAAACAAATATGAAATTGTTTAGGTATAATAAAAGCAGAAACATAATCAAAAGGATGAGTTATTTTCTGAATCTTTTTGAGATACATCAGAAATTAGTTTTCGATGTCAAGGCAAGGAAGTCTAATTATGAGCTTATTAATACTGTCACTGTCTGTGTTAATTATTATGGGGGTATTATATGAACTATGAAGCACCTCATAAAGGTTAATTAGTCAATAATAATGATCAATCGATCGACAGTGACTTGGGGAAAGCCAAAGATCTGATGCAAAATGGCATCGTCAATTGGACATGTTAACAAGAAATCTTCATGCATGTGAGTTTGCTTTTCTTTTTAAAAAAAGAAAAAAAGAGAGAGAGAGAGAGAAAAAAAAAAGAAAGAAAAAAGAGTCTTTGTGATTTAGTTGATACTAAGGGTTCGTTTGGTATGAGGGTTTAAACTAGAATAATTCTAGTTTTGATTTTAGAATTAGAACCATGATTCATAATTTTTTGTCCAAATTATGATTCTGAAACCAGAACCAGAATTAGGGGTCTGAAACTAGAACCACCTAAAATTAAGGGAGTGAGTGGTTTTAAAATCATAGGTGATTCATAGTTTAAAACACCACATCATGATTCAAACCTTGAATTAGAACCATCTAACTAAACACTGATGCTAAGTGAGTCAAATTAGAACTACTATTTACTTTTTATAAATAAACACTAATTTAAACTCAGAATCATGATTCCGGGTTCATAATCCTTATACAAAACAGCTACTAAATGGTTTGCATCTACCTGAGACTATTGTTGAATACATAATCGTAATTAGAATTATAAGAAAGCAACAAGCGGCGGAGACAATGACAGAGATTACACATGAAGAATCTGATAATAATTAAGATTAATTATAATGTGTTCACTAATTAATCAAATTAACAAAGGCTCGTCATGATGAAGGTAAATAATAATAATAATAATAATAATAATAATAATAATAATAATAATAATAGAAAATGGGCTCTCTTAGAACCATAAGATACATGTGGAAAAGAGAAAGGAATCTGATTTTTTTTCCTTTTTAGTTGGAAAGAAAATTGCAGCAAATGCTTTTGTTACAAATTATGATGAGATACTTGTATGCTTTTGATGCATGTTCCCTTCTTTGTGCATGACTGACTGATTGAGGGACAAAGAGAAGATGACTAGCTTTTTGTTAAAGCAAAAAGAAATTCATTTACAATATTGATATTTAATTTCTCAATTTGTGAAATTAATCATAGAAGACCACGTGGAAACCAAATTAGACCATTTTAAGCAAAGATTTTATGCGAATCCGCCGGGCCATGTTGGCAATTTGTTATTTGATTAGTGTGGCTTCCTTTTTTTTTTCTTTTTTTAATATAATAATTTTACCATCAATGTGAAAGAATACTCTATAAATATAGTAATGTTTTTCATAATTAGATATGAATTTCTTTTTAATTGTGTATACTTAGATCCATTTTGATATGATTCTAACAAGATCTATAAAAAGTATTAGAGGTGTAAGTTCGAGCTGCCTGACTATCTGAATATGAATTTCGGGCCAGGTCGGCCTAAAGAGAGGATGGTCGGCTAGTCCCCGTCCTAAGCCTGACGAGCATAGGGTTGGCCCAAAATTTACAAGATATTTTAAAGAAAAAATTTAAAATAGATGTGTTTGAGCCGAACCATGCCAACCCGAATAAAGTTTTGAACTAGAAAGTAGAAACCTAGGCCCTGTTCGGCTCAAAAGTTAGGACCAGGCCGATCTAGGACTTGGCCAACAGTGATGGACCTAAAACTGACCTATTTAATCCAATTCAAATTTACAGCTCTAGAAAATATTTTTAGCCAAAGAAGGAAATGCGATTAAATTTCTTTCTTTTCCTCTTTGGGACCACGTGGATTAAATGTTTGCTTTCATCAGGCTTTCCTTCCCCTTTTTTTTTTTTATTTCATTATTATTATCAGAGCTGGATCCTTGACTCCAATCAGATATTTTTTTCGCCTTGTCTTCTTCTCTATCCCACCAAACCCATAACAAGTTAATTAAATTTTAAAATTAATTCGTGTGGTGGCATTTATTTATTTGTAGAAGAAAGAATTTGAACAGAAAATAATCATATAAAAGAAGGGAATATTGGTGTGACGAAGTCACCTCAATATTTAGCTAATTTGAACTTGGTTCTAAGAACAATCATACTTAGAAAACACAATTTGTATACTATATACATATGGCAGTCACTTGAGGACAAGTCCATAAAAAAGAAAAAAAAAATTCAATTGAGGACCACTTGCACGTTCAGTAATGTCTTTACTCGGTAGAAAAAAGGTTATACACACCAATAATATTAAAAATTGTATAAAAATAAGAAAAATGACAAATTAATTAGAAACTCGGTCAAATTGTTAATTAAGGATTAATTAATACCTAGAAAAAAAAAACTGTTTTATTTATTAATTTATTTTTTGATAAAAAAACAAAAACAGCTTTCAGATGGTGTGTACATGTGTTATCCTGAAATAGACAGATAGGATCGTTAAAAATTATCACAAACTGTGTACTGACTTCTGTTCATTTTCCCAAATCAGTGCCGAATATAAATTTATAATATATACCTTTGATGGAATCAATATTTCAACAAAAAAGTTATATGTGCCGTATGCGTCATAAATTTGGTTGCTTGGGATTTTTCAATGGAATCATTCTCCTTTCAATTTGCCAAAAATTAAGGAATGGATTATTAATTTCTTATTCATTTTTTACTAATCAATGACCTCATCTCATCTTTTTTTTTTCTTTGAAGGAATCTGATCTCAACTATTTATCATAGAAACAAACAATTGCTAGTACTCAGATAGATCTAAAAAATAAAAACCCGCGTCCACGTATATAGTCTTTTTTAACATAAAAGCTTTTGTTTTTCTTGTTTTTTTTTTCCCCACTCCAATTGTTCTCAATTCATCTTTTAATTGAGGAAACACAAATTTACTGAGAGTTTTTAACTGTAACAGAAAAAATTAAATGTAATATTTTCTGAGAATTTTTAACTGTAAAAATCTAAAACTGAAAACTCGAATCGGTGAAATGAACGATACCTTAAGGTTTTTAAACTTTTTCAAACAAAAACTTCGATGGTGATCACTAGTATTGTGTCGTTGTTGAGTCGGGGCTGAATACGACCGGACTATAGTTAATCTTGGTTCAAACTAGTGTTGGCATTGGGTTAGGGTCGGACCGCAAACCATGTTGGCACCAAACCGGCCAGGA